CTTGGCTCAACAATGGAGTTGAGAATTCTTCCTCCTGAGTTTCTGCCGAGAGAGGGAGAGGATGGTGATGGGATGAATGATGGATGGATGATGGTGGTAATGTGTGAGGATGATGGTGGTGGTGGTAGGGTAATAATATAGGGAAGAGTAATTGGAGGGATGTGGTGGTGGGGTCCTAATGTGGTTTGATTGAGGATTGGAAGAGATGGGGGGAGTGTCTCTATGTGATTTGGAGGGTTTGGGGAATCAAATATATTCCCCTACTCCGTAACTGATAAACTGGCTAAAACGGTACGCGCTTTTTCGCCCAAACTGTTCCGTTTTGAAAACGGGTCGCGTTTTTGGAATCAGATTGTCAAAATTAGAATTTTGATATAATTAAAATATTTTTCTGGAAACTTTTATTTTTCAGTGTTCGGGTCTGCCTCAGTCATTAACTAATTTTTAAATTAATTAATTCTTTTAGGCCTAATTTTGGGGCGTTACACATTAAAAGTTGTGAAAGTTTACTCATATGGAACGGTAGAACTGCGTGGGGAGAGTTGTAATTTCAAAGTGAATGGTCATCGTCTGAAGAAATTCGAAGGAGGTAATGTGTCCCGAGAAAGAGCTTTTATGTACCTCCACATTCTGGAGGGTTGAAGGAGGAAACTAGCGTCCAGCTAATGATGTTAAAGAAGCGCTAAACTGGAGGCAACCTAATAAGTCCGTTTTATACGCACTTATCTTCTCTATATATAATGTGTTATTGTCCAATTTTAGATCAAACAAATGAATTTCTCAATGGTTTTTATAAGTTTTAATTCATAATTGAAAAAGTATACAAAAGTTATGTCTTGTTTTAAAAAGAATAAAAATTGAGTCAAAAGTTGTGCAAAAAGTGTAAAAGATTGTGCAAATGGAATGCAGCGGAACAAAGGAGACAACAGATGGTGAAAATCCATGAAGTGAAAAAGTATATATTCAATTGTGGAGATACACCCCGTCAAAATATTTGAGGTCAAACGGATTGAAAATGTACCAAAAAGAAGTTGAAGAAGTGAAAAAACAAAAAAAAAGTGATTTAATTCAAAACTAATTCGTTTGACCCAAATTAGTTCGGAATTTGAAGTCGGCGCAGAAGGAAAAGTTGTTCAGAGCAAGACTGTATATTAAGAAAAAATTTTCACGCCGGATCAAAATCCGGCCAACCAGGCGCTGCCACGTGGCGCGACCTGGCTGGCTGGCCAACTTCAGCAGCCAGCAAGTGGGTGTCATTCAGCCGCCATCATCATCAAATCAAAAAGGAGAAATGAACAAAGATAAAACCTCACGCAAGCAAGAAAGAAAACAAAAAAATAAAGAAGAGATTGCATTGATATGCAAATCGTGTGCCGAGCGCACTAACTCTGTGGGGTGGCCGCCCGGGACTCCGCCCCAGAAAATCCCAGGGCTATATAAAGCAGCTCGACGGGTCTCCATTATCATCAACTCCTCGTCAGGGACTTTAAGACCCGGAACTCTATTCTCTGCTCTTTTCTCAGTTATATTTTAATATTTTAGTTTAGTTTTGTTTCGGTTGTCCCAAAGTGGCTCCGACTCTGCTCTCGGTTGTAAGTTTATTTTTAAAACTTTTAATAAAATGTTCTTTTATTTTATGCACTGCTGATATTTAGTATGGGTTAGGACCCAGAATAGGGTCTTGGCTAAATTTGGGCATATACTCTGTATGTTTATTTAATAGTTGGAATAATTGTTCTAGAATTATTTTTATTGTTAAATTAATTAGTTATGTCGAGAGAAAAATTAATTAATTATTGGAAATTAGTTTTTGCCTTGTCTATGAGGATATAAAATTAGTTAAGCCAAATGTTTTAAAACACATTAATGATACCTTGAGAGAGGTTAAGTTAATGAAATATTTGTGACAAAAATATATTTATTCCAATTATTGATTAAATATGTGACAACAGTAGTTAACCCAGATGATGCCTTGGCCCGAAGTCTAGTCCTATACCCGTACTATTTATTTTATTTTTCTCAAAAGCATCAAGTAGTTTAGTATTTTTATTTTTTTTCATACCGAATCGAGAAGGCTTTCAGACCTGTCCTAACCTTCGCATAGTTAGAAAAATTAACTAATTCCCTTCGTCCACTCCTCGAGAGACACGACACTCAGAGAAAACTAACCCTTCATTGGGAAGGTTGACTTACCGAAAAACTCAATCATCAAATGACGACGTTGCCGGGGAGTGGCACGGTTTTAGTTTAATTTTTTAATTAGCTTAGGTGAAGATCGGTGAGGTCGATTTTCTCACCTCTTTTCCACAAGCCACCCGTAGTAATCATTAAAAATGAATTTTCGAGATGATTACTATGATCCGCCTCCTTTCTACTAACCACCCAACAACCCACGATCATTTTCTCAACAGTCCAATTACTACCCGCATCAGTCCAACTACTATCCACATCAAGATTCCTATTATGATGACTATTCAGTCAATAATGGACTTGGTTATTATCCATACCATAAGGAACAACCATATGATACCCCGTCTCGGAGCTTTGGATATTCTCCATACCAAGACAACTGTGGAGATTATTATGAACCTCATGGTGATCAAGATGATTATGACAAGTAAGGGCTAATGTACGATGACCAGCCTGATCCACAAATTGTACAAATTCTATGGACCAAGGAGAGAATACGTAATCTTGACCTAGCATTAGCTGTGGAGTGTTCATCATTTGAACCACCCTATTGTCGTGATTACTTTCTAACTTGTGAAGAGCAAATCGAAGCAAACGGAGATGCAATCCAGACGAGAGAACGATTCCAAGAAGAAAAGAAACTGCTCCAAATCCAGAAAGAATTGAAGTTTGAACGCGAACAACGCGAACATTTGGAGAAGATGCAAAAGATGCTGGAAGATTTTAAAAAGGCTATGGAACAACAAACTCTCCAGATTCAGATGGAGAAGGTTGTTGCTCTAGAAGAGGACAAAGAATCTGAGACAGAATCTGAAACTGAATCCAACAATGTCTCGATTCTTAAATATCCACAAACTCCATCACCACTGTATATCGAAAACAAGATAACAGTTGCAGAAGTGATTGCATGAGGTACAATGTTGACGCTTCTTGAAAGCCTAAAAAGTCAAATCGTATAAGAGGTGAAGCATACCGAGGGTCCTGTCTCAGAATCGCCTTCACCCGCTACACCAGAAACGTTGGAGGAAGCTGTCCTCCTAACATGTGTTGAAGACACTTCTCCAAGAGGAACCTGTTTTGGAGAAATTTGAGCCCACCACCAACCCTTTTGATCGTGAAGACTCAGGGGAAGGAATTGTCCTAATCATCGAGTAACCAATAGAAAGTCAGCCCATTGGGGACTTGGAAAGTCAGATCCTGGCATTAAAGGCCAGTGATATGGATTCACCGAAGAGACTCCCACCATCCATCCAAGACGAGTCTAATATCCTCCATTTTTCCTGTTGCCACCACGCCGCAGGGTTGAGTTAAAGATCCTGGACTTTGACTACAAAAGAACAGAACAAAGGTGGCATCAGAAAAGAGTCAAAAAGGTCAAACTTTATGACTCTCGGATCGGTAAGTCTCGTAAAAAACGGGCTAACGTCAAGCTAGTTATGTTAAAGAAGCGCTTCTTGAGAGGCAACCCAAGTGAATAAATTTTAATTTTCTTTTTCCTTTTTACGCATTTTTGTGTGTTCGTGTGTGCAGGTGGAGCTAGGAATTAAGAGTGCTGGGGAACCATTTTGACTCAAAAAAAGGGGGAATGACTAACTTTTGTGCATAAAATTTTTTTAAAAACCTTTTTTTAAAAAATGAGAATTATCTCTGTCCCAAACTCTTGTTTTTATCGCTTAATGACCTTGAGGTCAAGGTCAACCCTAAGTGTGGGGAGATTGGAGTTTGGTACAAAATATTTTTATTTGTTTAGAAAAACTTTTTGAAAATATTTTTATACGCTTTGTTGCATTTTATATATTAATATTGATCTCTACACCGTGTACGAAATGATTGTCTAAGCTGGATTGGTACTTAAGTGGACGCAAAGGGTGACGCCTTCGGGAGCCGAACTTGTCCCACCATTCAATTCCTACTAGGTCATTCTATGGAAAGGTTTATTCGGGTGAGCCTAAGAGCACCTAATTGGTAGCATTCTGCCCGATCCCGAATACTCTGAATCGGTCTAGTTATCACTATTGATATTTTTAAAATTGTTTTACATTTTTTTACTCTTTTCATAGGTAGAATTATTTTTAATAGCCTCCTTATGCAAAAATTAGCCAAAATTTTAATTTTTTCTTTAAATTGCACATATAGTCTTTTATTGGCTAACTTTAATAAGTTTTGCAAATAAAGAAATTTGGATACTAATGTGATGAAAAGAAAATCATTGTTTTAGTAAATAAATATTAACTTGTAAAATACGTTAAGGTCAAACATTTGTAACTTGTCATTTATTTTAAAATCTAAAATTAGGCTGTTTCAATACTTCAAATTGAGTATGAGCAGTATTTTTTTTGAAAATTTGATATTTCAATGATTGCATTGTAAGTGTTGGAAAAAAAATCATCAAAAAATTCAAAGAACACACTTTGGAGTGCATTAAGAGGTCAAAAAGCATCAGGTTCTATGTCAGATGATGAGACTTATATTGAGTGAGTGTCAAAAAGCATGGGGTTCTATGTCGTGTGATGAGACTTTTGAGTGAATAAAAATCCAAAAAGCTCGTGGTTCTATGTCATGGGATGAAGATCAAAGTTTTTGCTTGTGTCAATATGACAAAGTGAAGTTCTACAAAACAAATCCAAACTTACTCTTTGCATAGGAATAAATGATATTTTCATAAAAGTTTTTTTTTAATTTTTTTTCAATGTATATTTTTTGATCTTAAATTATTTTGCAGTTATTATAAAACACTTACAATTCTTTTGTTTTAGACTTTAGTATCCAAGTTTGTAAATGGACAACTTTTACATTTAGCCAATAACATTAATTTATGTGCATCTTTTAGAAAAACAATTAAAAATATTTGCTAACTTCTTTGTAAAAAGGGTGCTATTTCTAGTAGTTCAACTTTTGTAAAGATTAAATAATGTAAAATAAATTTTGTGCAACAAATTGTTTAAAAGTGTGGTCAATAGTTTTTCCAAAATATTTTTGTAAATAAGTGTTTGATCCAAAATTTCATTTGTTGTTGTAATTTGTTGCTTGAGGGCAAGCAACGCTTAAGTGTGGGTGATGGAAACCGCTTTTTCGGGGCGCCGACCCGATGAAATCGGTACCGGGTCGGCACCACACCGAATAGCGAAATCCGGAAATTAAATAAATAAAGCAGAGAGAAAGTATTTATACGTGGAAACCCAAATCGGGAGAAAACCACGGGCCTTTTTAGACGGTGCCATGCCAAAGGGGAGGAACTTTTATTAATCTCGGGGGAATTTACATATACATCACTGTAGGAGCTTGGAGCCATTAATGGAGCTCCAAGCTAAGAGAAGGAGAAGAATGAAGAATAATAGTAGAACTAGCAGGAAATTGGCCTCCTTGAGTATGTAGCCTCGTAGGAGAATCATTGGTCTCCCCCCTTCCCCTCTTCGTAGTATTGTATTTAAAGGGGAGTATATGCATGCATCCCAACAATGCCATGAGGTGGCCATGTCACCTCCATGTGCATATGTCTAGTATATGGGCTCCACTAAATATTTTTACATCATTTCAAATATATTCTTCTGTCCATATATCTCTGGTTCTGTCTTGAATAATTTATCTGATTTATATCTTGGGCCAGATAAAATTGGGCTTTCTTGTATTGTTCAAATAATATTGGATTAGGAAAAATCCCTAATCCATCAGTGGGGAATTTGATAAGTCCATTTTATACGCACTTATCTTCTCTATATTTAACGTGTTATTGTCCAATTTTAGATCAAACAAATCAATTTCTAAATGGTTTTTATAAGTTTTAATTCATAATTGAAAAAGTATACAAAAGGTATGTGTTTTTTTAAAAAGAATAAAAATTGAGTCAAACGTTGTGCAAAAAGTGTAAAAGATTGTGCAAATGGAATGCAGCGGAGCAAAGGAGACAAAAGATGGTGAAAATCCATTAAGTGAAAAAGTATATATTCAATTGTGGAGATACACCCCGTCAAAATATTTGAGGTCAAACGGATTGAAAATGTACCAAAAAGAAGTTGTTGAAATGAAAAAGTAAAAAAAAAGTTATTTAATTCAAAACTAATTCGTTTGACCCATATTAGTTCTGAATTTGAAGTCGACGCAGAAGAAAAAGTTGTTCAGAATAAAATTTTGAGTAAGACTGTATATTTAGAAAAAAAATTCACGCCGGATCAAAATCCGGCCAACCAGGCGCTACCACGTGGCGCGACCTAGCTGGCCGGCCAACTTCAGCAGCCAGGCAAGTGGGTGTCATTCAGCCACCATCATCACCAAATCAAAAAGGAGAAATGAACACAGATAAAACCTCACGCAAGAAACAAAGAAAACAAAAAAATAAAGAAGAGATTTCATTGATATGCAAATCCTTTGCCGAGCACGCTAACTCTGCGGGGCGACTGCCCGGGACCCCGCTAACTCTTCCAGGCCTATATAAGGCAGCTCGACAGGTCTCCATTATCATCAACTCCTCCGGGTCTTTAAGACCCGGAACTTCATTCTTCACTTTTTTCTCAGTTATATTTTAATATTTTAGTTTAGTTTTGTTTCGTTTGTCCCAAAGTGGCTCCGACTCTGCTCTCGGTTGTAAGTTTATTTTTACAAATTTTAATAAAATGTTCTTTTATTTTATGCACTACTGATATTTAGTATGGGTTAGGACCGAGATTAGGGTCTTGGTTAAATTCGGGCATATACTCTGTATGTTTATTTAATAGTTGGAATAATTGTTCTAGAATTATTTTTATTGTTAAATTAGTTAGTTATGTCGAGAGAAAAATAAATTAATTATTCGAAATTAGTTTTTGCCTTGTCTACGATAATATAAAATTAATTAAGCCAAACTTTTTAGAACACATTAATGATACCTTGAGAGAGGATAAGTTAATGAAATATTTGTGACACAAATATATTTATTCCAATTATTGATTAAATATCTGACAACAGTAGTTAACCCAGATGATGCCTTGGTCCGAAGTCTAGTCCTATACCCGTACTATTTATTTTATTTTTCTCAAAAGCATCAAGTAGTTTAGTATTTTTATTTTTTTCATACCGAATCGAGAAGGCTTTCAGACCTGTCCTAACCTTCGCCTAGTTAGAAAAATTAACTAATTCCCTTCTACCACTCCTCGAGAGACACAACACTTGGAAAAAACTAACCCTTCATTGGGAAGATTGACTTACCGAAAAACTCAATCGTCACAACCCGTCTTTCAAAAAAAAGTGAAGTAAAAAAAAAAAGAAAAAAAGAAAAAAATTGCATTTGTGTGTTAAAAGTGATCTTAAGTTGGAAGCGATCTTAAGAAAAAAATTGCATTTGTGTGTTAAAAGTGATCTTAAATTGCATTTGTGTGTTAAAAAAGAAAGGGTTGGACTGTCTAAGTTGGAATGATACTTAACTGGACACAAAGGGTGACGCCTCTAGGAGCCGAACTTGTCCCACCATTCCTACTGGGTCAATTTGTGGAAAGGTTTATTCGGGTGAGCCTAAGAGCACCTAATTGGCAGCATTCTGCCCGATCCCGAATATTATGAATCGGTCCGGTTACCATTTTTAATACACTTTTGTTAAGAGAAGTGAGAGAAAAGAACAAAAAACAAAAAAAGAGTACTTGTCGCACCAAATTTGGGGGCAAGCTTACCATGTTTGTTCACTTTTTTGCAAATGGCAGAGTTTCCTACAAGCGGACTCGAGTTACCTTTTGTTACCCCCGAGGCGCGGGATCGATATCGAGACTGGGGTAGCAAAAAGGTGTTGACACCACCGATGATCTTGGACAAGGCAGCACTTGAGAGCATGGGGTAGTGGGAGGAGGTCGACGACTTCCTCCATGACCCCAAATCGAGGAACTTGCTAGCACTCTGGGCACAGACTAGTGTGCCCCCTGACTATGGAGTTTATCTATTCATTGCGGTTCAGTGGTTACGGGAGCCGAGTTCGAGACGTGGAGGGAGTCCATCCCTCAGTCCGGATGACATTCACGCTCCTTGGGAGGCGATTTGATATCTCCCTCCTTGATCTGGGATACCTGTTTGGGATCTATATGTTAGAATAATAGACCAACGCTAGAGGGGGGGTGAATAGCGTTTGATCGTAGAAATCGCAGGAATTAAAAAATAACGAGAGAAGTAAAGAAAAGAGTAAGAAGCACACCAAATTTTACCCTGGTTCACCACAACTTGTGGCTAATCCAGCCTCCCGAGAGACTCTCTCGAGCTACACTACTATCTCGTTAAGCTTGCGGGTGCTTAACAAACCGTTACAACTTGAGAGTTCAAGTCACACGAACCTCAACGAATCCTTCAAAGGAAACAACCCTTCCTTTGAATCTACCGAGAAAAGTACCTTCTCTCAAAGTGTCTAAGAACACAAATACACTCAAGAACGAGACTCTCTTATAGAGTAGATTATGAGTAAACTAAGTACGCTCAAGAACAACTCAACCTTCACACAAAATGGCTCTAGCAAGCTATGGAAAATGATGATATTTGAGTGCAATGAAAGTATGAATGTTGTGAAGTGAATTGGTGAGAAAAGCAGACCCAAACACCCCTTTTTATAGTGCCAAAATAGGCTCCAACGGACCAATGCATTAAAGGGGTGATTGGCTTGATTTATGGGATTGAGTAAATTTGGGATCTGCAGGATATTGGCTTCCCATCGATGTTTGGAACTTACCCATCGCTGGTAAGCCAATTTTCCTTCAATTTTGAAGCCAACGGTTACCTACCCATCGATGGGTAAATGCTTCCCATCGCTGGGTGGGAGGTTGACTT